AATAGAATAGAATAGAATAGAATAGAATAGAATAGAATAGAATAGAACAGAACAGAAGGAATAGAATAGAATGGAATAGAATAGAACAGAAGAAATAGAACAGAACAGAAGGAATAGAATAGAATAGAATAGAATAGAATAGGAAAAGGAATAGAATAGAATAGAATAGAACAGAAAGAACAGAACAGAACAGAATAGAATAACAGAGTTGGAAGGAACCCTGGAGGTCTAGTCCAACTCCCTGCTCAGGCAGGAAATCCTATATCATTTCAGGCTGTCCAATCTCTTCTTAAAAACTTCCAGTGATAGAGCATTTACAACTTCTGGAGACAAACTGTTCCACTGGTTAGTTGTTCTGTCAGGAAATTTCTTCTTAGTTCTAGGTTGTGTCTCTCCTTGATTAGTTTCCACCCATTGCTTCTTGTCCTGCCTTCAGGTGTTTTAAAGAATAACTTGACTCTGTTCTTTGTGGCAACTCCAGAAATATCAGAATACTGCTATCATGTCACCCTTCTTTTCATCATACCCGGTTCCTGCAACCATTCTTTATATGTTTTAGCCTCCAGTCTCCTAATCATCTTTGTTGCTCTGTACTCTTTCTAGAGTCTCAACATTTTTACATCATGGCGACCAAAAAATAAATAAATCTTATTCTGGAATACAACAAAACAGCCAGTCAATCCAAAAGAACCCAGTCTTTGATTAGTTCAGGAAATGTCAATCTCCTGATATTCTTCCAAAGAGGCCAAGAAATTACCCAATATTGGAAATGGGACCATTAATTCCTTCTTTTAAATGAGCAAGAAAATCACTTCTGCTTTTTAACACATTATCATTAAGTGATGATGGTTAAAAATGAATAGTTTGTTTCTCATCATTTTGGGGCAGAAGAAACACAAAAAAAAGATAGCCCAAAGTAAAACTGAAAGGTTTTTTTAAAAAAAAATCCTAATATGTTAAATATTTTAATACTCTGAACAAAATAATGAGAAAACCCTGACTGCCCTTAGGTTTGTGCAGCCACTTTACAAGTAGTCCTCAACTTAGAACCACTATTTGAGCACAGAATTTCTGTTGCTAAGTGAAACATTTGTTAAGTGTATTTTGCCTATTTTAAAACTTTTCTTGCCACAGTTGTTACATGGTTGGTTAGGTGAAACTGGTTTCCCCACTGACTCTGCTTGTCAGAAGGTCACGAAAGGTGAATCACATGACCTCTGGAGACTGCAGCTATCATAATGAGTCAGTTGCCAAGCACCTGAATTTTGATCATGTGACTGTAGGGATGCTACGATGGTCGTAAGTGTAAAGTCACTTTTTTGCAGTGCTGTTGTAACTTTGAGCAGTCACCAAATGAATTGTTGTATGTTGAGGACTACTTATATATCATTGCCCCTTATCCAGAATGTTCTTTAACTCTGTGTTAAATACGTCTCTTAACTAGTAAGTAATTTCTCGCATTCTCCTATGCGAGATATGGCTGGGTATCTCTTTTCTACAATCTTATAGTTTCTTTTCCTCCAAATGCAAAATTATTTTGATATTTTTCAGAGTTTTCTGAAACTCAAGGATGGAAGGCACTTTGCTTTAGGAACTGAATTGGGGACACTGTGGCACTGTTTTCAATGTTCAGTCTCTCTTTGGTCATTTCACAAAATTGTGAATGGGAGAAAAACCATTTTAGTTTTCTTTTTCAGATACAAAAATGGTTTTGGA